TAATAATAACAATAATCAAAATAATTCTCAGCAACAACAACATACATGGCGAGCAATGAATTAATTTATCATTAAATTATTCAGTCACAGTCATTTATTTAAGCAAGACGGCGCCACAAATTCATTATTATTATCATCATCATCATCACTATTATTATTATCATCATCACCATTATTGATATTATTATTATTATTGATATTATTATTTTTATTATTAAAATAATCATCACCATCATCATTCATTATCACAGTCGTCGTCTTTATCAACATCATCTTCATTTCAGTTATCATCGTTCTCATTATTATCACAGATCTGTATCGAGCTGTAATAATTAATAACAGCAACTTCATTTGCCACATTCAATGCTTTTGTATTGTTCTATATCATTGTGTTTGTGTGTGTGTGCGTGTGTGTGTTTGTATTTGTGTGCGTGTGTGTATGTTTATATGTGTGTGTTCGTGTGTGTGTGTGTGTGTGTGTGTGTGTGTGTAGGGTTGAGTCTCACATTATAAAATGCGGTAACAAATGTTTAATGTTTGTGTGTAAATAGATACAGTAATACTCTTCTCCAACGACCTTCCCATTCCCGACTCTCTCTCTCTCTCTCTCTCTCTTCTCTCTCTCTCTCTCTCTCTCTCTCTCTCTCTCTTTCTCTCATTCCCGACCGTTTTGTTTCTGACGGATTGTTTTCACATTAAGCGCCACTCCCGACCTACGACTCCTTCCAAAACCCGACCAACAACCTTACAAAACACAAAAAATTATTATCATTAGGACGTAAAATTTACGACTTTTAAAGTTGGTGTGACAGCGGAAAAATAGCAACCCCAATTGCAAAATCATTAAACGTGTGTAAAACACAAATTCAAGGAATTATACAGGGCGAGGCTAAACAAAAAAAATAAGTTCACAGGCACCACATTTTGCACTGACTCGTGGATTTCAAGGCATTCCAAAACGTTTGGAAAATTTTCATGGTCAAATTCAAGCAGAACATCTTAGATAGAAATCAACAGTCGTTCAGCCTCCACTTCATTTCTTCCCAAAACAAATTAAATTTTTGAGTTTAGCAATACAACATGGTTTTTCCAAATTATATAATATATGAATATAATACAATGCAGTGTATGTACATCTTGTGTAGCTTTTATTTTTTGGTTGTAAATGTGCTTTCTTCCCATTTAAGACCCCTTACCTTTTAAGACCTGAATCTATGACATTTTCAAAGTAGTTAATACGGAGTACCACTGTATACGTGTTTATGTAGTTGCATGTATTTGCGTGTTACACACGTGCGTGTGCTTGTGTGCGTGATTGTATCTACGCACGTGTTTGCGTGTTTCGTATGCAAACGTCGTTCATATAAGTTTAATATGCATTCCAATTTAAAAAGATGGAAAGCCAACGTGCTGCCCTCCAATGACATAGAGTGAAATGGAAGGAAAACTGAGAGAGCTAAAATAAGGTTAGAAATTGAGAGTGAAAAAAATGAATGCTGAAAGAGAGAAAAATGCGCGAATGAAAAAAAACATAACAAAGAAAACAAAAAAATAACAAAAGGGAAACAAGAAATCAAACTAAACAAGTTGGTACTCATTATTGCAATCACAAAACAAACAAATTAACAAAAAAAGACAAAAAGAAACAAACAGAGCCAGCCAGCTTGCATTCTCATTTATTTACATATCAAATATTTCCCAGATCTTCGTCTATTATGCTCTCCGTCGGTTATTTATATCTTAGCAAGAAGCCCCGATTGAATATTTTATATGAATGAAGCCGAAATCAATCATGCAATATGTCTGCTGAGCTGCTGTCCGGATCAGCACGGAATGACGGATGGATTGTCGCCACGGGTGAACTTCATTTTTACCTTTTTTTGTTCCTGTTTGGTTTTTTCACTTTTTTCCTCTTGTTTTTATGTCGTTTTTTTGTGTTCTTCCCAATTTTTTTTGGTATTTCTGGATCTTTATGGTTTTTCTGAGATTTTTTGATTTTTCCGATTTGCATTTGGTAGCAACGTACGTACAAAAGATTTTGTTATAAATGTTTTTGGGTTTATTTTTCTTTATGATTTTTTTTATCTGTGGTTATGTTTGATTTTTTTGTTGTGGGACGATTGAAATTCTGTCGTCGTTGTTGTGGTGTTGTTTCTTGTTGTTTTTGTTTTGTTTGTCTTTTGTTACTGTGTTTTTGTGGTGCGTTGTTTCGTTTGTTTTTTTTCTGTTTTTATTTTTTTGCTGGTTTTCTTCTATTTTTATGTAATTTTCAGATTAGGTGTTTTTTGTTTAAGGTTTTACTTTATTTTCTAATGCTCAAAAACCTCATTTCAAAAGTTTTTAAACTTTTCAATATTTTTCCTTAGTTAAAATATTTTTTTGCGTCAACTATTGTTAGAGCTGTGCGCCATGATAAAAAAAATATAATAGGACTGTTATTATCAATACATTTAGCTTCATCCTTATAGATACGATTGATCCATCCATTCATACATCTACTCATTTATTTATTTATCTATATATCTATCCATCTATCTGTATATCTATCTCTCCATTATCCATCTATCCATCCAACTATCCATGAAAAAAACTAATATTTTGTATCTTTGTTAATTTATCGATTTATCTATCAACTAATCTATCTATCTTCCTGTCTATCTATACATCTATCTCTCTGTTATCCATCTATCTATGTATCCATTTATGAATTTATCCATCCATTTATCCAGCCCTCTACCCATGAAAATAAAGTTTTTCGTCTCTTTTTTATTTTAGTGTCGGTGCGAAGATGCTCGTCTGATGAAACCTGACATTCGATTATTACCAAAAGTCCGGAGTTTGCAAAGAGGAAGGCAGCGAATTAAAAATAAGAATGTTAATTTTATCGACTTTGAGATTATTATTACTATCATTATTATTGTTGATGTTGTTGCTATTATTGTTGTTGATGTTGTTGTTTTTTCTGTGTTGTTGTTGTTACGAAAAAAAACACATGAGGCAAGACTTAGAGTTTTCCTGTATAATACCTTTTTATATATTTCACATATCGATTTATATCTATACAAATATTTATTTAATGGCGATTATTTTACACCATTTTTATTCTTTTAAAACGATTAACGCTTGGGGTCAATAAAACAAACAATAATTAAACGAAATTCACATAAATAAACAAAAAATAACTAAAATTCGTCGAAATTTTCAATACATGAACTTTATAAAAGTTAAACCGGCGTCGAATTTATCGCTTCTATATCCTTACTTTAATTAGGCTATAATATATATGGCGAATATATGGAGTCACTTCGTCTCGTTCTTCTGCGTTGGCTTCTTCTTTTCTTGCAAATCCTAATAAGAATTGATACTTTGCTTATTTTTTAGTTTTTATTTTATCAGTTTGTGTTTTTTCTTTCGGGTTTTTTCAAAATTTTAGATTACATTTCAGATTCAGATAATTAACTCGGTAAAATGTGTTTGAGTAAATTATTAAAAAAAAATTGTAAGTAAAAAAAACTTCAAAGTTTTCCAAAAAGTTATAAATTATTCTAATCACATTTAATTGGAGTGCTGGTTGTCAGGCTGTTGTCAGTCTCCTTCAACGCCTTCTCAACTTAATTTGGTCGTCTCGAATAAATAAAAAAATGATTTAGATGATATTAATTTTAATGATTTAAAAAATAAATATAATAAATATAATGAGAAAATAAATAATTAAGGCAAATATTTTATATTGTGCCAATCATACATAATTTGCTAATATTATGTTAGTAGCGTGGATTGAATTTTTTTTAATTCTGAAAAAATTGAAAAAAAAATTGAAACTAATTTGAAGAGAGAGGTCCAATTGATGCCTAATTAAAGTGATGGTCTGCTGAGAAAGAAATGACGACAGGTCTTTTTATTTAAAAAAACAATCTGAAATTTTTTCCATTAAAGTTAAAAATAATTTCTGTAAAATAGAATTGCAACACGTGGGTGTAAATAAACTTAGGGGAAAATGAGTAAATAAAATGTCAAATGAGTTTTTTCATTGAAAAATGATTGCACGTTCGAAATGGAATTACAGTGTGCCGTCCAGTTACATTGTGCAATTGTCCATGTGTTTTCAATTGAGAAAATTCTGTTTAGTTTTGCTCCAAAAATGTTTAAATTAATTTTTAAAATAATTCATTTTAATTTTTCAAATAACATAAAATAAATTATGTGAAAATTCTGTTAAAATAATATTCAGAAGCGGATGCATCATTCAGTAGCGGATCAAAAAGATTTTGTGTAAAATATTTTACGTCATAATTTGGTGTTTCTTAAATTAAATGTGAATTTTCAAAGAAATGATCCATTTTAGAATTTCAAAAATTTCGAATTTAACTATAGAAATTGAGCTATAACACACAATTTTTAACCTTGACCTGAAAGCTCTAGCATCATTACATGTCAAAATTTATTAGCTAAATAATACGTTTTCTATATAAAGTTTGATTCATACAAATGAACACGGTATAACTTCCTGTATAATTTACTGTTTGTGCTGCATTGTAAATGATCTGCATGACATGTAAAATAATCATGATAATTCCTGATTGATGGGTGAATGGTTGAATTAATTAAACGAGTAATGAAATCTTAAGTTATTTTAAATATGTTACAAATTAAGTTCACAGGAAGGAAATATTTTTTATCAGGAAATAAGTTATGAGTCTTAAGCACTGAATTACATCGATCAAAGTATAGATTAATCGAAAAGCAACTTGAGGTTAATGTTTACATTAATTTTTTAGGTTAAACTTTAGTAGACTGCTTATTAAAATCATTTTTAATTGGAAAAAATGTTGTAGGCTTTACAAATGACTTCTATACTATTCTATATTCTTGTTCAAACATTACCACTACTTATTTAATATCTTTGAAAACTTCCTTTCTTTTTTCATCAGCCATAGAGCGATCGAGGAGTTGTTTTTGAGTCGTTTTTACGAGTTTGTACAAGCTTTCAGACCTTCAAAATGCAAAACGACGCCGGAGAATATGTTGATATGTATATTCCAAGAAAATGGTTTGTTCATTGTTAATTTATAAATTTTTTAAAATTTTCATGCGCATGGCTGGTGATGTTGATTGAATATTTTATTAATAAAATAAATAATTTAATATTTTAGTCTAACTTCGCTTACCGATTGGAGGTAAAAAAAAAGTTATGTTTAGTTTTTTTAATCATTTATTTTTCCCTTAGTTCTGCTAGCAACAGAATAATTTCTGCCAAAGATCATGCCGCCATTCAAATCAACCTTGCTGAGGTTTGTGGCCTTTTTTATTCAAATTTTGGCAAAGGCTTATGTTTTTTGTGATGTTTCTTGAACATTTCACTAATTTATTATTTGATATGATATACCTTTAATAGTAGCAGGTTGCACGATTTTTCAAAAAAATTTTTTTTATATATAATCTACTTTTTCTTATAAAGCAAAATTTGCTGATTAAAATAATACCAAATTTATTATTGTAGCATTAATAGTTACCGAGAAAACAAATTTTGAAAGAATTATTTTTACTTTTAACTTGCGCCATGTTAAGAGTGGCGCTCAATGTTAAGTGAGCATGGAGCGTTATATTCGCGCACAAGATGTGAAAAGAACGATTTGAAATTGAACACAACACAATTTTTCTTCTTGTTTTTATAACAGTTGTAAAATAAGAAAATAATAATTATGAATAATTTATATTTACTATAAAATTTAATTATAAATGATTAATTATAATTATAAAATTATATATATCTATAATTTATATATATTATATAATATATTATAATAATTATATATTATTATTATATTATTATGATATAATAAGGGGTGCTGAAGGTCTTGAATATTTTTCTTTTACAAAATCTCTCAAAGCTTGAGCTTGCATAATGATTTTGAAAAGACTTCAACAAATAGAATAGAAATATCTGTAAAAAAAAAAAATTCATTTTATTATGCATCATTTTATCATATTCTAATTACAAAAATATTTTTACAGAATGTTAAATAAATGGTTATTTATCACATTTCTTCAAAATTTGTCGTTGTTGCTTGTGAAACTTAGCAGTTATGAACATTCTAATGAAAAACTACCAATACAATTCAAACAACACATTTTGAATTTCGTGACCATGCGATGCGCATGGAAAAAATCCATAAAAAAATTCATTATACTCTAATTTCAAAAATATTTTTACAGAATGTTAAATAAATGGTTATTTATCACATTTCTTCAAAAAAAGTCGGTGTTACCCATGAAACTTAGCAGTTATCAACATTTTTATAAAAAAACACAACCAATACAATGCATTTTCGTGACCGCGTGGTGCGCACGGAAAAAAATCTGTAAAAAATATTTCTTCTACTCTAATTTCAAAATTATTTTTATGGAATGTTAATAAATGGTTAATTATCACATTTCTTCAAAAAAAATCGGTGTTACCCATGTTTTACTAATTTTTAAAAATAATTTAAAATACACCAACCTTAGAGCAAATAGTCTGCAACAAATGTGACTCACAAAAACAAAGAAAAAATATTTTTATAATAATAAACATTTCTTTTATCGCTTATAACAACCGAAAATTATATAGGTTATATTATATAGGTTATATATTATATAGAAAACTATATATTATATTTATATATAATTATAAAATTATTTTCGAAAATTAAACAAAAATAACGACGACGAAAACGCGAGTTTGCGATAACAATGTAAATTCACTTTCAGGAAAAATCGTTAAAGTTCAGCGCGCGCGCTTCCGCATTCTTTAACGTTATGCGACCTGCTACTTTAATAGTTAATTTAAATAATCGTACTTAAGTGTATGTACCCCTTTAAAAATTCTTAAATCTAAATCACATCAAGACTAAAAAAATTAATTTTATAAGTCTAAAAATAAATCTAAAAGATTTTTCAAATTTTCTTTTTCAAAATCTAGGTTGATGAGCAAACTGGAAGAATGACTGGTCAGAACAAGACATATGCCATATGTGGAAACATCAGGAGAATGGTACATCATTAACCTATTACATAATATAATCCAGCTACTTGTCAAAATTAGTTTACAGTTATTTATTTCTCATTGTTATTTAAATTAATAAAGTTTAAATTAATAAACAGGGAGAATCAGATGATTGCCTCAACTTCTTATGTAAAAGAGATTCGATCCTGCCAAAGTAATTCGTGATATTTAATGTTTCATTTTCAATTTGTCAGTTCATTCATCGTATTCATTGACGACATCACATTTCTCATTATTATCATTATATAACAGAAAAACCATCTTAGGTTTTCACTTAATTGGATCAATTTTCAATTTCAGGAATTTCTAAGTGAGGAGTGGTTATCGTGTTGAAATACATTGGCATGGACTGAATCCTTCATTGAATTTTTGTTGGTGAAATAAACACACCAATCAAACTTTCCAATTGCATCTTGTCCCTTTTTCACATTTAAAATAAAACCAGCGAGACTGTTGTGGACAACAACATTTATTGTTAAAAACAAAGGGAGTTAAATTAGTGAGAACATGCCTGAAAATATAACAAAAATTTGGCGAACTGGTATGGTCGACATTTGACATGATGATTAGAAAGTAATAATTACTGTTAAGAGATATATACATTTTTAATTCATGTACCTACAGAGATAAACGAAATAAGAAAAAACTGAAGCAACGTGTCTAAAAACTAAAACTTATTTTTCTACTAGTGCTTAATTTTAAACGTGCCTGCTTAGTAGAACAATTTGTCATCATGAGAACATGGAAATAAGTAGAATTTGTTAAGTAGTGCAAATACACGTGTATGTATGGGTATATATATAATATCAAATGAATTTTAAAGTTTGAAATATTCAATTTTATACTCGCTTGACGATATGCGCATTGAATCTACAATCAAATGAATACAAATTATTTTAGATTAACAAAAAACGAACCTAAGAACAAATGTTGAGAATAAATAAATTTGAAATTATTATTTTAGGGAAGGTTTACTTACATCTCGAGCGAGCGATATGAAAAAGAATAGTTAAGTACATGTTACATACATTAGGCTACGAATAGAATAAACATATTTCCAATATTATCATTTGTATTACACATGGGTTAGCAGCTAGATTAAAAACAATAGTTAAAACAAACTGAAATAAAATTACAATCGTAGTATACGAACAATTATAATTAAATGTTTGTACATGCTTTATAAAAAGTTATAAACCAAATAGGGAAAATTATGGTTTAAAACCAACAGCGTCGCAATTACGAACGCACAGATAACCTTGTTATTTCATATCACTGCTTATACATTAATTAATTAATGTTTAACAAGCAATTAATTCGCACTGAGGGTATTTAATGATATCAATGTTACGTTTTAGTTCAATTTCAGGTACATTTTTTTGGTTTTATTCTTCTTTCTAAGAAAAATTTTGTGTTATAATAAGTAAAAAATATACAAAGTTATAAAGAAATTGAAATAAAGCATCTAACATAAACAGCTGGTTAGCGAACAAAAAGCCTAAGTAGCATTGTAAATATAAATATTGGTTGTTATAAACGAGTTTTATACAATTAATTTACAAAATGTATGCCTATATATGTTTAATTCGTACAGATATACATGTATTATTGCGTATTATACATGCGTATTACATTTGACGGTACCATGCACCATCTTGTATGGTACATGGTTAATAACGATTCCATTCATTTCACCTATCAATATAGATGGAATATCTATCTATATGATCAATATAGATAAAAATACAATCTTGTATATATATATATATATATATATATATATATATATATAAT